CAACAGTGCAGAAGAGTTCCTTTTTCTCCACACCCTCGCCAACATTTGTTGTTGCTAGTTTTTTTAATATGTGCCATTCTCACTGGTGTAAGATGGTATCTCATGGTAGTTTTGATTTGCATTTCCCTGATGACAAGTGATGTTGAACATTTTTTCATATGCCTGTTGGCCATTTGCATTTCCTCTTCAGAGAAGTTTCTTTTTAGCTCTTCTGCCCATTTTTTGACTGGATTCTTTTCTTTGTTGTTGTTAAGTCTTTTGACAAAGGAGCAAAGACTATGCATTGGAGCAAAGAAAGTTTGTTCAATAAATGGTGCTGGGAAAACTGGGACGCTACATGCAAAAGAATGAAGCTTGACCACTACATCACACCATACACAAAAATCAACTCAAAATGGATTAAAGAACTAGACATAAGACCTGAAACCATAAAATATATAGAAGGAAATATAGGCGAAACACTACGTGATTTGCACATCAAAGACATCTTTACAGACACATCACCCAAAGCAGCGATAGTGAAGGCGAAGATAAACAGCTGGGACTACATCAAATTAAAGAGCTTCTGCACAGCAAAAGAGACAATAACAAAAACAAAGAGAAACCCCACCAACTGGGAGAACATTTTTGCACCCAACACTAATGATAAAGGACTGATCACAAAAATCTGCAAAGAGCTGATGAGACTTAACATTTGTATTCATTTTGAACCCACCAAGCACTGCACACACACACAATCATAACATTCCCAGTAATTATGGCTGAACTGACCAGTTACTGTTTTAAATCTGAATGGATAGAGAGGGAAGGGTGTCTTTTCAATCTAAGTTACAATATTTGAACAGCATTTCATAAAATCAAGACATCTATAAACTAGGAAAAAAGGTTTCTAATCCCACCCTGAAGAAGACTTTACAAGTGCTATAATAGGTTTTGGTAAAGGCATTTCTTTACCAAAGAAGTTCTTCATTTCATTGTTTCTCTTTTATGATTCATCAGGATGGTCAGCGAGTCTAATCCTGCAGATTGTAGTGCCTTTAATGAGACATAGGGCAGCAGGCAGTCTTGGTTTCAACTGATAAGTACTATTTAGGACTTTAGAGACTCAAAATCTAACTTAGAGTTTGATTGTCTGATGCGTTAGTGCTTGAGTAATGCACAGAGAGTGGACACCTCTTCCAGAAAATATAAACAATTATCAAATCATGAAGCAAAATGATTTGCCTGACCATTTCACCACTTAACAATTTTCTGTTATAATTGTCCAACTCCTTAGCTCTCTTTGTTCTGAGACCATAACGCACCTTAAAAGATGATTAGGACATGCAACTGATGCTGAAATTTATAAAACAAGGCAGATTGTGTTTCTTCCAGGATTCGCCTTCATTGCCAAAACACCCTGCTGCCAGAATGACAGCGTGGAACAGTGCTTGTCACGGTAGCTGTGCCCGTCACAGCACCCAGACAAGACTTTTCAAAGGCTGTCCAAACAGTTATGTTTCTAAAGCTTATATTTGTGCTTTCTGACTTGAGTCCTCCTTGACAGTCCCCCAGGTCTCCAGAAACCCAAATCTCAAAAATGGTACCATCAACAGGAAAAACAAAGAATGCAAAATTGTAGATTTTCACAATCAATTAGAAGTCCTTTATTATGAGTTTCATTGTTTTTCACCTGGAAGCCACAGTGATATTTGTGGGGGGAAAAAGGACCCAGTGTGCATTATTTATAGGTAGCTTGGTTTCATAGACCTTCTTGTAATCTGGCTTTAGAGTAAGCATCTACTCAGAGGTTAAAAGTTTATTTCTAACATTTTTGTCTTGGTTCCCATTCACTCATTGTGGTGGTCACTGCAATTGGTAAATTCCTTTATAGTTAGCTAAGCCTGTCCTTGCCCTGGATTTGTAACTCCTAATATAGTTCTGTCCCCATAGCCTCTTCTTGGAATAGTTCATTGGACCCAGGACAGATTGAATGGACCCAATTTAGATAACAAATACAATCCAGTTCATTCTCTCCAGACCTCTAGTTTACCTTTCTTGTACCAAGAGGGAAAGAGTAATCAAATTTTAATAATAAATGTGCAAACACACGATAGTAATGTATGCAATTAAGAGCAGTTTAATCTCCAGTAGTATCTTATAGATTTTTCTCTCTGGCACATTTTGGGTCTGATAGATTCAGTGAATCCTATCTACTAATCATTTTTATTAACCATTAAGTAAGCAGGTTCTTTTTATTTGAAATTTTAAAATAGGCAGGAATTGCAATATAGATCCTTAGAATTAGGTCACTTAACAGGGCTTTTCCTCGACCTGCCCCTGCTCTCAACTCTTCCATGTGACAAAGCCTGGTAGGTGAAATCCAAAGGTACCAGCTTTCCTCAGCAGGGAGGGTTCTCTGTTTGTCTTGATGCTGGTAATTTATTCTGAATACATCTTTTCCATTTATGACTGACCTCATGGAAAGCAACATTCATTTTATAGTTTCTACCTCAGTAGCTTTGGAAGTACTCTTCTTAGGTAGCTAACATTTTTCTTTTTTACATGCATCCCTTCATATGAATGGCTAATGATAGAACCAGGACCCACGTCTTGAACAAATGAAATCAGACAGACTACTGCCCCTTGTTCCTTTTGGTCTGCTTAGATTTGTGTTTGAGTTTTATTCCACATATCAGTTTACCTTTTGGCCATTCTGAGCTCAACCGTGCAACATGACTTAAAAAGTTTCCCTTCTTTGAGAAATGATCAAACTACATGATGTTCATAAGAAATAAAACCGGGGCATGTTTCCACCTTGACTACCAAAGAGTATGTCTTGGGATTCCAGTGATAGCTTAGCAATCACTTTTCTAAATAAGCTTTATTGCACAATTTATTTGGCAGTCAAAGCCACAAGGCATTGCCCCTCTTACACTGCTTTATTTATATTAGGTATTGAAAGGATAGATAGAGAAACAAGGGAAAGAGAACAGCTTTTACAAATGAATCAAAGCATTTGTGTGCTTTTCAGAAGCAACAGATCATTTTTTAATCTGACGGTTTCTAATTAAATTGATTGTGAGATAAGATACACTCAGTAAGTGGCAGACTCACATGAGTCAAAAAACCTGGGGGGTTGCAAAAGGCATTTAATGCTCCTAAACCGTCCTGAAAGTGAATGCCCTTGAAAGCTCTCAAAGCAATGTGTTAAAGATCTCAGCTGGGGGCTGCTGACATGTTGTAATGACTGTAATTTATAGCACATCGGTTCCATACTACCCTTTGGCCCACTAGGGTGCTGCCTGGAAGCTAGTATGCCTTATGGACAGTTGGAAGGAAGAAAGGAAAAAGTGAAAAAAAAGTTTTCAAGGCCTTTTTAGCAACCTCTGTACTATTAATTTAGACTTTTGGGCCTCTTTTAGAGACTGAAAACTTTAAAATCAAACATGTCTTACTTCACTTCTGCTGATTTATGACATAATGTCACAGCTACACTCCTCACTTTACATGGCCAGTTAGCCAGGTGGGTTGGAGAATACTTTCATTCATTCAAAATGCTATTGAGCATCTACAGTGTTCCAAAAACTTATCAAAGCACTGGTGCCCTATAAACAAGACAGTCTTCTTGATCTCATGAAGCTTAACATCTCTTGGGAGAGAGGAGCCAGACTTGGAAAAGGACAGAAAACCAAATAAACTTAGGCATGGACAAGATATAGTCTGATAGTCCTTCTAACAATCTGATCATCTTGTTCCCCTGGTATCTAAACTTTAGCTAGAAAGAACTATATAGACAGCTGAGTTCATTAAAATTGGGAGGATGATGTTGGGCCTCCCTGGTGGTGCAGTGGTTGAGTGCTGGGTTGCGAAGCTGCCCACGGCCTCTGCGGCGCCGGTTCGATTCCCGGCTGCTCCCCGGCCACCAGAGGAGGGTCCTGCATGGCGGGCAGACCTCTCCTGCCGCCCGCTGCTCCCCTCAGCAGTGTACTTCGGTCCTTCTGCCTGCTCTGCTCCCCGCTCTGGCTCTGGTGAATTCTCTCACCCTCCCGCGCTTCTGACTGTACCCAGTGCATGTACAAACACAACAAACAAACAAACAAATAAATAAATAAATAAATACATGCCTCTTTAAAAAAAAATTGGGAGGATGAGAAGGGAGAAAGGTAGGAACCCAAGATAGGGTCTTTACAGTATGTTGAAACAGGTGTTCTAGTGTGGTTCTTAAGTTGTCTTTGAGGATAATTTTCATTGCAAAATTTCAAGAGAATTAGAGTGTTAGCAGCTTTATTGGAATAAACTTTTGGGTGGTCAACAGGAAATCTTTGAAAGGTATATAATTTCTAACTTGCTAGCAAAATACAAGGTAACAGAAATAACATGCTACAATGTTGCTCGACAGATTTTGATTTGATCAAATTTTGACTGCCTCTTTCTGGCCAAGTGACCTTGGCCAACTTATAACTTTAGAAGTTATTTTACAATTACTTCATCATGAAAGATTAACAATAGCATGTCTCAAAGGTTCATTGTAAGAAATAAGTGAAATGGTATTCATCAAGTACCCTAAACAATGCCTGTCTTACAAGAGAGGCGTAGGAAATCACTACATGTGGGTCTTGTTTTTGTCCTTAGTAAAAATTTGTAATTGTTTGTATCAGGCATTATCACAAACAATAAACCATAGTATCAGTTCTTAAAATCCTCAGACATAGTTAGAAGAAAAAAAAAATCAGTCCTTGAAGGACATTTTCACTCCATTACGATCAGGTCAAACAAAGGGTTTTTGTCTGAAATGGAAAGAGTTTTGATTTTGTGTGTTCAGGATCAAATCTGGCGCGGTGTTCCTTTGAGTATGGTCACTATTCAAGTCATAGCTTTACAGGCTGTTTGATATTGAGAAGCAACAACTCAACGAGGATCAAAGGATAGAAAATTCAAGGTTGATTCATGCATTTTTAAGTGAGGATGTCTTATAGCATCGGGTGTAACGTGAAGCAGCTAGTGCCAGAGAGATAGTAACTTGAGAACAGAAAGACCTTGATTTCAAAGAAGGAGAAAAAAAAATCAACAACTTAATCTCTCTAATGCCTTAGACTCTGACAGAAAAATTTGCAATGATGAAAAGAAGAAAGCAAAACATAGATGACTCGAACAATTGTCCTCCAAACTACCAGGTGATTGTAAGCTATCTCTAGCCTTTTCAAAGATATATTTTAAAAATCTGTCCCACAGAAGCCTCCTGGATTCAGGAACTTAGTTTTTCAACCTAAACTTTGTTGCTGAATAAACTGTCAGGAATTATGAAATGAAACAATTTTGTAATTCATACCATGTGTTTCTACATCTATAAATGCAACTTTTGGTTAATCTTTTTATCGAAGTTCTTGGTATTTTATGGGTACCAGTTTATTAAGTATAGTGTTTAAAGATATTGTTCAGGAAATTAACTCAGGTCCTGAGGTAGAAGTGTGTTTGTGTGGTTTCCAATTTTCTGAAATTTTCCTGATTTGAATTTATAGTCCTTTCCTCCAAATGCCGTCTGCTCTGTATAAGATCTTGCTCTTCCATCAATTTTCCTAGGTACTCACCACCTATTTTCTCTCCTTTTCCCCATCAAAGCCTTTTCTTATGGCATCCAGCTCTTCTCTGTACTAGGTGAAAAGAGACGGTTGACAATGTGGCAAAACGGAATTGCCATCTTTGGTGATTAGCCAGTGCGGTGAGTACTGGGTCCCCTTGAAGTACTTTTGTGCAGCTTTTCAGAGAAGCATTCATGTTTCCACTAAACTGATAATGATGAAACTTCAATCCCTGTTGCTTTCAATCATTTTCTTATTGTGCCAGTTCAGTGACTTTCTTCAACTCCAGTTTTTGGTGCCAGGTCTGCCAGAGGCTGGAAAAAACAATCCTTTTGGTGTGAGTTGCAGTGAACTTCACTTTTAATTCCCTGTTAACGTGCAATCTGAAGTCTTCCTCAGAGAAAAATTGTGTTCATGTTTGTGGCAAAAAGGAATACAGAAAAGTGACAGATGTAAGATGAGAGAAGAGGCAGCCTTTAATCATTTTGTTGTCAAAGCAGCTTTGGATCGCCCTTTGAAGAAAGCCGTTTCCTCACTGCTTCTGGAAAACTAGAGATTCATTCTCTTGCCCTTTGCAGATTCCTTACCCAGAGGGTTAAACTCCTTACCATATGCAAAACTGCTGAACCCAAGCTCCTGCCTACAAAGCACTCCAGTTTACACATTCACATTTCAGAACATCCGGATCCCCATGCTCTAACTAAAGACTGCTGTGACTCAGTTTACGCCTAATCCTGATAGAAGGGAAGAAAATGTATGGTAAATCCCACTGATTGAAAAGCACATTTGCATTTGCAATGTATCAGTTCTATTTCAGACAGTTAAATGCATATATTAATGCATAGATTATATACAAAGTAAAACTCTTTTCTCTAATCCTATGTGACTGTAATTAAGTAGGGGGGTTGATTTTATGGAAATCAGATTTTACTATAATTGGGCACAAGTGAACATTCATATGCATCTTATTTAAAAGAGAATATAATGTTATTATGTGGATGCCAGTGCAGGGAAGTATCAGCTGGGGGATGGGCAGCATCACTGGCTGCTCACAAGGCTGTGGTCAGTGAGCTTAATTAAGTTACCTGCTCTGCTTGCTCATGCTACCCTGTGCAGAACTGGGCCACTGGCCCTCGGAAAGGCTGAAGGTGGAACACTGGGGCTTTCATTCCCATTTCTTTCTTAGCTCACACTTAACAGAGAAGCCGGTTTTTTTTTTTTTTATACTCATCTTTTTAAACCTAAATAATACTTTCCAATGTTTTTCTCTGCTTGGTAGTTCTGACCTATATTTCCCCAGGCCAACCACAGATGGATTTGTCTTCTGTAAGCAGGGCCTGGTCTGCTCCCTTTTTTAGTGTCTTTTCTAAGGCTCCTCAAGACTGCTGTAAGACCTGGGGATTTTGTTTTCCAAGTGCAGCCAGATCAGAAACCATCCAGCCGCCTGCCTTTGCCACATCGTCTCTACAGCCAGAGAGAGGGAGGGTTGGCCTCTGGGTGGAGAGGAGGAGCTGTTCCTTTATTCTTTATCTAGAGAGTAGATAGAGTGCTTTGGGATGAGGTTGTTTTGCAAAATATAAAGAATCTAATCTGCATATCAGAGGTCAAGATTTGTGAGGAAAAATATGCATATGACTAAACTTTCATTTGAAACATATTCTCCTTCTCACCTGCAGGTCTGACACTCATTTTTGGAGTTGTGCCTTGGCCTCATTCTGCCCAGCTTGCCAAGCCAGTTCCTTGCCTACCAGCCCCTGTACCTGAGGCAGGTTGACCTGCTCAGATTCAGGGCAAGAGGCCTTCCCTCGGGCACCACCTTTCTTCTCCCTCCTTACTTGCTGCCATCCCATAATCTTGAAATCCTGTGTAAATGCTTTAGATTTTTTTTGAAGGGCTATTTTAATGAACTAGCTATTAAATTCTTCCCACAAATGCCTGCCCCCCCCCTTCAATTCAATTGCGTGCTCTCTCCCTCCAGAGCTTTTGAGTCCTCTCTCAGCTAGTTCCTTCCTGCCCACTTTATTCTCCCTCCTCCCCCATATTTGTTATTTCTCCATCTGAGAGTTCTTACTTGGAAGGCCATTGGCCCAGAGATTATGCATGTGAACAGATAAAGGAATTTGTAGCTGAGAATTTTCTTTTCAAGTAAGTAGTAAGGAGATAAGTGTGTTCTCTACAGGGCATAGCATTTTCTCTTCATCTTGTTCTTGTAAAGAGACACGAACTAACATAGAAAAGCCTATTAGAAGACTAGATGGTGTTTAATGGACTAGTTCAACCAGCAAAATTCAGTGCCCTTTTCTGGTAGCTAAATTTAGTTCCAGTGATGGGTGGCAGCTGTTTGTGCATTCCTTAATTTTAATGATGTTATCTTTCCATATTTAATCCTTCAGTTTTATTTTATGTTCATGTTTGAAAATTGGTTCAAGTACTCTTGAATATAATCAAGTGATACACATTAGAATAAATAAAATAAAATAAGTATATTTTAAATGTCATTGTTCTTTAATATAACACTACTCAGTGCTGAACCAAATCAAATGCCCCAATTGGTGCCAATCAATTATGTTTTACTCATGCCATACAAGGTAAGGAAGGAGCGTTCAGTCTGGGGAACAACAGTGCAGAGGCTGGCACCATCATGAGCTGTGTTTAAGTGTGATTTGGTGGAGGAAGAGCTGCCTTTGCCTAAGTGCATTGTAGACATGTGATGAATAAATAGCAAAGCGCTTCTGTGGCCCATGGTCAGAGAGAAATATCCACAGAGTGAAAAGAGAAACAAAGCATCCTCGGGGAGTGCTAGCATCACTGAAACTGGAGAGGGGAGACTCTGTCCATGAGGCCCCCAAGCTTTGTGGGCAAACTTTGGACAGGTGCAGATAGCAAGACTGAGAATACTTTGCAAGTGGTATGAAAACACTGAAACTAGAAGGGCCTCTCGTAAATAGTATAGGAGAGAGTGGAATATTACTGCATAGGGAAAAAGCCAGATAAAGATGCTAACAGTTAATGTGGAGAGCCTCAGCTAAGTTCCTTGAGGGCAGCACTGATTCCGATCCGAGAGGGATTGAAACTTGCACAAAAACCCCACAGTATGTAAATGTCATTTCATAAATGATGCTTCAATGACTAAAGAACCTTATAGCTTCTCCTTTAGAGAGGATTTAGGGTTTTTGTTTTTTTTTAAGATTTATTTATTCATGCATACAAGAACCGGGGCACAGGCCAAATGCGCAGGAGGGTGAGAGGATTCACCAAAGACAGAGCGGGGAACAGAACAGGCAGACTGACTGAAATCACTGCTGAGGGGAGCAGCGGGTGAGACAGGAGAGGTCTGCCGCGCCATATAGGATTCTCCCTGGCCTGCCGGGATCGAACCTGCGCTGTAGAGGCTGCAGACAGCTTCACAGTGCTGCGCTTAACCGCCTGCGCCACCAGGGGAGGCCCCAAGGATTTCGGGTTTTTTTTTTTAATTATGTTACTGTCCTATAAAAACCTCAGTATATAAATACTCATAGAAATTATCTGAAAAGATGTGCACGAACAATTATTTCTTGGTGATGGGAGTATTTTTTGTTTTGTCTTATCTATATTTTTGAGTAAGTTCATTTTTATTTATATAATGTGCTTATGAATAATTTGATATACTTGATGACAATTTGGAACATAGCTCTGTGCTTTGTTTTATCATAGCTGGACTCATCAAAAGGTCTTTGCTTTTTTTATTTTTTATGGAATGCCAAGCAATTTTTAAAAGAATGCATTGATTTAAAAAATTTTTTTTTTAATTTTGAGTTAATTTTTAAATGAAGTACTTTTTTCTTACATCAGTGTTAATTTTTGGACAGCCTATGATTTCTCCCCTCAGGTGTGGTCTCCATAGTTCTCCCACCACTGAAGAACCCTTAGTCCATCACCACAGACCCTTGTGCTTCTCCCCCACACACACTGCTCGATCTCTCTCCTTCCCCCCTTCCTGGATGCCTCATATCTGTGTCAGTTTTCAAGATCTGTCTTGACCCTTTGTTTGGTTTCTCTATATTCCCCATATAAATGAAGCCATTCGATATTTATTTCTTTCCTTCTGACTTATTTTCTTAGCATAATCCCTTCCAGTTCCATCCATGTTGCCACAAATGGCACGAGTTTATTTATTTTTTTAATCACTGATTAGTATTCTAGTGTGTCCTGGTTTTTCTAGGTCAGTGTCATTGAAAAAGAATTAAGCTGGGTGTGGTAGACAAGGCCAGCAAAAAAGAATGGGGTTCATGAGATGAATGAAAAAAGGTGATAAGGAGCTTGAGCAGGGGAGAAAGTCCAGCAAAGGGAGACTCTCACAGAAAGGAAATACACCCCACAGAATGAGGGTACTGAGAGCATCTCTGGAGATTCCTGTGGCTAAGCCCTGTGTAAAGGGATGGTGTGTGAGTGTTCTGGAAGACTGGCAGGGGAAGCTATGACAATGGGACCACTTGGACTAGAGGAGCAGGGCTTGCTGTGCGCCCCTTCTCATTGTCCCCCATAATGCCTGATTTGGGACTGACTTCTTGCTAAATCTAAGTTAGGTCCTTATGCTGGATTGAATTTAATTTGAAAAAATAAAACATTATTTTCCTACTTCTTACCTGATGCAAGAGAAATAATGAAATTAATTAAAAAGTTAAAAGTAAGCAAAAAATTTGTTAGTATAACTCATTTAGTATTACTAGAGATGGACATAGATCAAGGTCAACTTCCCAGAGCAGGTAGACCAGTAAAGTATTATTATTATTTTCTTTTTTTCCCCCAGAGCGAGGCCAGAAGGAGGACTAAATGTGACTATATTGACTGTACTTCATCCATACTGTCCTGATGCTGATTTCAAAGGGCCATACTCATTTGTATATTTATGAGTTAGCTAAAAAAACCAATACCATTACTTTATATAATCCTTCATATTTGATAAGATGTGGAGACTCATGTAAAGATATCAATAGTTCAATGGAAAGATTTGTTATTGATATCTAGATGATTAATTACATAACTGAAATTTCTACTATAATTGATGAACAATTACAGCTGGTATAGGTGCTATATGACTTTAGAACAGGGAAATAGCTTCTAAAGATAAACTTTAGTAGAGAGTCTAATATGACTTTGAGATAATCCCGGTCATATTTCCATAGCATGCGCTGACTTCTCCTCAAGGACTCCTAAAGTAAAGAATTTGGCCCTGCAAAATCACTGCAATATTGACTCACTCATCCTGTTCTTGGAAACACACAAGAGGTTTAATGGTATGTGCTTTATCAGGATAGACTCCTTTTAAAATGAATAAATGATCTCTCCTCTTGTTTAGACCTGATGCCAGTAGACTCATTTGAAAAGGCTTAGAGGATCTGTATTGTTTCTTTACTCTATATTGCCTTATTTTTTTTTCCAGAACCAGTTCTCTAGTCTCCAAAGGTTTGGCACTCCTTTGAGTGTCTCTTTGTAAAATAATTTAGAGAAATATATTATTTGTCTAAAAAATAAAATTCACATATTGAAAGTTTATTCTGTGCATATCATAGTTCTAAGTGAAAGCATGATATATCTTGTTTAACTCATGTAACGGTTGTATTGGGTGTAGGAAGACATTTTTCTCTCAATTTAAATACGAGGGATAAAGAAATAGGGTAAGTTGTCCAAAGTTAAGTAATTAAAAATGCAGAGTTTATATTTAGGCCCATCTCTGTCTCTCTTCAAAGGTCAAGTTTGAAGTATTACTCTCTCCTTTGAGGGACTGAATCCCTACTAACCACCCAGTTACTCTGAATCACTTCATCTAATTTTAAATCTCTCAAAAAGTTTACAACTTTCCACACTTTATTGTTTTGTTTACTGTTTGATTAAGCCTCACCTCCACCTCCTTTGCTGGAAAGTGAGCCTGAGAGTATATACCTGTTACTCACTTTATTGCTATATCACAGTACCTAGAACAGTGTCTTGCATAGTGTAAGCACCCAATGTTTGTTGAATAAATAAAAGCAATTGGCAAGTTATCAATTTTCTGTCTTATTGTTCCCAGGTTAAGGGAAAGACAGACTCGTGTGGAAAATTAAGGAGTAACATGGAAAGTACCATAACAGAATTAAGAAGACAGCCTAGAGAGTTACAGAGGCTTCACTGATAAGCTGTTACTTGCTTTGGGTATTGTGAAGAGAAGGACATGAGATCAGAGGAATGGGTAAAGTCTCAGAAGCAGAAGTCAAGAGCATGCATGGAAAATAATGAAGTCATTCTTCAAATCTCACTAAGAAGAGCCACATCTACTCTGTCAGAACTTCCCTCTTTGGGTTCTCGACCACTCTGAACTGAACGTTATCATATCTTTTGTTAGATTCTTTGTACTTTTTTTTTTTTTTTTAATTTTACCTCTCAGTCTCTCTATACCTTTGATGTGGGGAACCAGGATGATCTGGTAATGAGTTCCTCGCAGGCAGGGACTCTGCCTTATTTATCTCATGGCTTAGTTTGGTGCTGGTAATTGGTAACTATGTACTTGTACAAATGCGTGATACATGTAAAATGTATGAACGAGTGAATGACATAGCTAAAAAGCAGCTTATTTAAAAAAGTTTTGAATCTAAGAAGAGGACAAGCATAAAAATAGTGAACATGGGCTTGGGTAGCAATAATAACATAAGGCTTGGTTTTTGAATATCTAGAATCTTGTTATTACAGAGAAGGAAGCATGAGGAAACTGAGACTTGAGATGGGAAATGACTTGTTCACGACTTCACAACAAATTTGTGACTGAAATAGAACTTGAGGTTGGTGTTTATGGTTTCAGTGAAATGTGATTTCTACAAATTGTGCTACTGTTTGTACTGGTCAAGGCACAACTGTATCAGACTGTACAGTTCTGAGGTGTATCCATTAAAGAAATGTACTGACAAAGTAGGGTTTGTCCAAGGATGGATGATGCAGATGAGGGGGTACGTGAAAACCATATCATATGATGACCAAATAAAGATACTGAGAATGTCACCTGAGAAGAAAATACCTGCAAAGGGGTTATGGGGTGATTGGGAAAACTTAATAGCAGTTTCCAATACTTGAAATACTTATTATTCCTTTGCTCCAGAGAAGAAATATAGGAATAAAAAGAAAAACATGAATCAAAGCTATAGTGACATAAAGTTCAAATCTATCTAAGAAAAAATGCTCTCAAAATTAGAATTCTCCAAGAATGAAATTTTAAATTATATAAAATATGCAAATAAAGCCTGGAAGATAATATGTCAGGTTATATCACGAGTGCCTTTTGAGTTGAGATCATGTTTTATATATTTCCCTAGAGCCTTGAAAGTGCCTGGTACTTAAGAATCAATGTGAATCCTTTAAAAAGGATTTCTTCATGGATGGGTGAGCATGAGGTGAAAAGGAATGTACTGTGCTACTAACTCCAAGGACTTTTCCAACACTTAGGTTTATGATCCTTTGATAAAAATTGATGCAAAGTAATGTATCAATATATAATAAAGAAGTCATTTCATGCTTACAAGTGAAAATCAGTGAAATTATTTCTTTTAAACTCTACTAAAATCTGTGATGTTGGGCCTTCCTGGTGGTGCAAGAAGTTAAGCATAGTGCTGTGAAGCTATCCACAGCCTCTGCAGAGAGTTCGATCCCTGCCAGCCAGGGAGCTACCCACATGGCGCAGCAGACCTCTCCTGTCTTGCCCACTGCTCCCTTCAGCAGTGTATTTCAGTCAGTCTACCTGTTCTGTTCCCTCCTCTGTCTCTGGTGAATCCTCTCACTCCCGATATCTCTGGCCTGTACCCCAGCTCTTGTATGCATAAATAAATAAATCTTTAAAAATAAAAATAAATTAAAAAAACAAGATCTGTGATGTCACACTTTTTGCATCTTTCAGAGAAGGGGCTTGTTTGCCACAACTACAGTCTTACAAAGGAGATAAGTATTAGTTACATCTCTGTACCTGTTAACCAAACTAAAATGTCACACAGAAGTTTAAAGGAGTTGGTTTTGTACAAGTAACACAGGACCGATTTATGGAAACACTTGAGCGATGGTTATGCCAATAGATTCACACTTTTTAAAATGATGACTAAACTAGAAAACCAGGTTTTTCACAGAATCTAAAATCCTATTTAGATTGTCACCTTTATTTAAGTTTTAACAAAAATCTTAAATATCACTTCGAGAAACCTATTTTTCACTGAATATTTTATATATAGAATGTGTTGATTTGGTATTTGCCTTCTTATTTTTTGGACACAGGAGTGTCATTGCTTTTAGTCTATGCAGAGGTCATCTGAAGGAGACAAAGAGGGCTCTATTTAGATTTACCATATTAACAACGAGAATCTATGAACTATATATAGTGATAAGACATTTAATGATTTGTGGATTCAATCTTATTCTTCAACATTTTTCAGTTTACTTTTTCTAAACAAAGTGGTTATACCAATTTGTAAGCTCAAAGCAAAGAATGATTTATACCAACTTTCTATGCTGTTGTAGGATTAACTTTCTTTCTTATAAAAATATGATTCAAACATATTTCTGTTGTATCATGTTAATTTCATTTCAAATAATGGTCCTGTACTAGTCTACTATAATATGAATCATAAGGTTATTTATAAGATATTTGGTTATGATTTTAACTTTTTTTTTTTAAGAACTATACATTATAAATACAGCAAGGTGTTTTGAGAACTCATGATTTTGGTGTTTCTCAACATTTTTTTCCCTCAACATTTAATGATATTATTAAGTTTCCCCCCTTAGTTGTTATTTCCACTTATCAAAATGGAATAGATTTTGTGCTCTGTGTATACCTAATATGTAACTTGTTCAGTACCTTTTAGATATGCACTTAACTGGAAGATTCTATGATGTTTCCAAAATAAAAACCAATATCTTTCTTTCCCTCTTCTTTATGAGTTATAAAACACTTTTCTTTCCCTTCTCCTTTGATTTAATTTATATGCCAGAGATTTTTCTGCTCTGGGGATGAAAATGGAAGACAAGGGAAGAAAGTTGATGAAATAGAGATGATTCAAAGATCTGAAATATTTTATCCTCACTCATATAAAGTAAATTATTTTTTCTCTTTTCCAATAACCATCATTTCCCTTGATCTTGGAATCGCTCAAAACCTAGCCACTGAGTCCTGTATAAACTAATGCTCTCCTATAGATATGGAGAAAAATACTGGAACCTGTACAGATTGTTCTAGCTTGATTATATTTATAGTTATGAGATACCGCAAATTTAAGAATGCCAATTTTTTCTCATCACTGAGTATTTATTATATATAACAAATACATGGGAAAGAAAAAACTATATTGTGTGATATAAATAGTTTATTTACATTACAGAAAAAACATCAAGACAATGTATACTATTTCAAATATATCCATACATAATCAAATATAGCTGTAGTACATGTTTTCATTGGTGTAGATTACCACAAATGCAAGGCAACATGTGTAGATCTCTTGTCTTATTCTTTTGTCTATAATACTGTATAGTGTAGTCCAAGTTCTCGGTAGTCCGGCCACTGTGCAACATGCTCCCTTTAGATTAACCTCGTAGACGCTCTTGTTGTGTTGTCTGAACTGTAGTGCCCTGTATTTTGCTTCTGTCTGTGAATTCTGTTGCTTCTGGGGCATTTCCTAGAAGGTTGGAAAGTTTACAAATCTTAGTCCAGTGCTATTAGCTAAAGTTTGGTCCTACAATCACAGAGTGAAGCTGTGGATTAATTAGATTATTAAAATATTTCAGATGAAATAATTTATTTTCAGTAGAAGCTGAATTATTTTGGGAGAGCTATTTTTTTTTTGCTTCTGCTTGCTGTCCTCTGTTGAGGAGAATCAAAGAGTAGGTGGAAGTTGAAAAGGAATACATTTACTTTGTCCTCAGCTGCTTGCTCATCCAAACACCGAGAATGACGCAGCACAGTATAATCAAACAAGTCATGAGTCCATCTAATCTTACATTAAAGGTCTCCTCAATTTTATATTTTAAATATCCAAAGGATGAATGTTATATTGACATTTAATGCTACAAGTTCAACTCCTATCAAACCAGAGAAGGAACCAACTGTTAATATCTGATATGAAATGGAAAGGGATATTGTTTTGGCTCAACCCAACATCACTTTTGTTCATTAAATTAACATTATCAGATAGAGATATAAATTGGTACCAATTATTTAGCCTCTGTAAAAAGGTCATATTCATCCAAATTATCTGAAAAGTTCTGATTCAGTATTATTCCCCTCATTAAAAAAATGTTTTGACTATGCAAAAAAGAACCACAATAGCATTCACATAAAGTACTATTATAATAAGCTATTATAATAAGTAAATATATATGAAAGACTATAGAGATATTTACTATAGTATATATATAATATATATACTATATTATATATATTATATACAATCTATAGAGATTACTTTTCTAGCTACATATGGGAGCAGATCTGTAAAAATGAACATGGAGTTGGAAATCACATTCCCAGTAAACAGGAGCTGGAGACAAAAAAGATTTGACAATCCAATTTCTCAGCAGAATTCTTTACATTCAAGATCATGTCTATAGATGTTCATTTTTCTATGAGATATGAATTTAGGAGGAAAGCAGGTATTTGAATAAAATAGTGAAGAAAAAATAAAGCACTGAATTAGGAAATAAAAGTGAAAAGGGGAGAAGAGAAAGAAAAGAGGAGAGACCAGGCAAGGAAGGCATGAAAAGAAAAAGAGGACAAGGAGACCTCTGCTGACTGTGATTTTTAAAATCTTTTAGCAATTGGATATTTTGACATAGTGAGGCCAGGTCACCAGCAGGGAGGGTGACTGGAGGGAAGATGATCTAGTTGGAAAATCTGGTTTTTGATCAGAATGTTTTCAAGTTAATGAAATGAATCCATACTGGGAATAGTGTGGCTTATTGGTTAGTGTGATACCTGGAAAGGCTTTGGAAAAGTTGGATGTACTAGGACAGTTTTATAAAATGCATTACAATGATGCTTATTTAGATCATGCGCTATTGCTTCTTCTCAAAAATATATAGAGGATGGGTTTTGTTTTGTCTTAACATGGAACATGAAAATGGTTACATGTCTTGAAAAAATGGCTTGCTCTAAATTTAAGTTGTCTTGAGCACCAGAATTTACATCACCATCAGTACGGGGCTATATGAGCAGCGCTTTAAGTGCACAGGTTCTGACACTAGGCTGCTGAGGCTTCATTTTAGCTCCTATTGCTCAGCTATGTACACGCAGCAATTTATTCGCTTCTCATACCTCAGAATCCTTTCCTTGAAAATGGGGATAGTTGTTCCTTCCTCATAGTGTTATCAAATATATGTGCATATACACATATATTATACATACACATAATACACTCACACACAATTCCTGGTGAGATAAATACCCTTCATGTTCATTTGCTTTTATTGTACATGGGAATGAAAATCAAGTCTTATTAATAACAGACTTGAAAACATTGCTAAAGTATTTAAAGTTTGCATTTTTGACTCTATATGAAGTAGCAAATCAAACCGGTATGAGGTGATATCTATAAATATGAATTTTGTTTTTCCTATGCTGATATTCCTTAGCTATTAGAAATTCAAGTCCCTTAGAGTAATATAGAGCAGATTCCTGTGTTTTAGATTATTTCCTATCTTTTCTTTTGTACTGAGTTATTTTGGTTTCTTGAGTTATCTTTATGTTCCCCAGAATCTATTTTAATATAATCCATTGACTCACTTGGCATCTAAACGTGAGAGTCGAGTTGATGAACTCAACTTGGCTTAGAACAGCACAAAGCTCCAGTTGATGATCTTCCCCTAAGCCTTTAGGCCAGCAAGGATTTATGAACCATATTTTCTCTTTTTCAAGAGCAAGTGCCACACTTGTTCTCAAAGAAGATAGTGCAATACAGATACCGAGATGTCTTATGGCCTTTATTTTCTAAAGATATGGTACTTTCTTTTATTTTCTTGTCCTTTGAAAATAATTTTTTGGGAAACATTCTGATTTACTGTAAAGCTGTACAAATGAATAAAAGTTTAAATGCCTGTGAATCTGACAAAATCTTGAGAAACATCTTGGAACTTTTTTCTCAAGGAGAGTGAAATCAGGTCAGAAAGAATTATCTTCACTAATGTTTCTGGTTACATAAGACATAAATAATATGTATTTGCTTTGGAATATAATTCTTGGTTACCATAAATTTATATGCTAATGATGGTAAGCAAGTACCTGGCTCACATTTAGTCCAAGCCCAATGTCAGACATCATGACTTAATCATGATTTTCTTTTGTGTTGAAACTGGATGAGATCTCTGTATCTCTCTGAACCTAGTTCCCCAGGAAACAATTACCATTTATTGTCCTAGGGGACTGATAGAAATGCTTATGCTATTTGCTGCATATTTCCTTCTATCAAAGATTTTCTCATATGATAATCTTTGTCATTACAACTATCTCTTTGAATTTCATGATTAAAATCTATTCTGTCAGCTTAAGAAAAAATTTGTTTATACCAAGTTAAAATCATTATACATGAGAGTTTTGCTTGAAATATAGTGCCATAAATGAGAGTTATAAGGTAACACTATTTTCAACCTCGGATAACATGTACCCTGACCTAATTTACCATACTGACCTGGGTAAGTAAGGAAACACTGGTCATTTAAATAGTCTGTAAGTAGCTTGTATAAACTTCTTTTTATATTTAAAAGACAAAAACATATTTAAAGAAAAGTTGACATTACACATTAAGGGAAAAAAGCATTTGCTGAGAAAATTATCCTCCTCTGTGCAAAAATATAAAAATAACTTGTTTCACTCCCACATAAAAATCAACATCTTTCCACTTGACTATTCAAATGCTCTTACGATGAGGAAATAAGATTCTAGATAATGGACAGTTGTATAGACCATGGAGGGGACTCATGATTAGAGCGATATGACAAAAGAGATCCCTGCATCGAGGTGGGGCACTGAGTGTCATTACTGACCTTGTGATGCAAAGGACCACCACGCAGATGACAGCAATCTGAATGGTTCCAATCACAGCGGCGATTAAGACATACTGAAATCGTACAGGGCCGGGAACAACATAGAGAACACTGTAGTCCTTTTTTTCACAGTGTTGCCCAGTATAACCAGCATCACACCTAGAAGAAATTACATTGCCCAGTTATCTGTAGCTGTTGGATTCATTTTGATAGCTGCCAGTTAGAGGCATTTATCTTCATCAGGAAATTAGAGCACTTTGTGTTCTTTTAAAAATATTACTTGGTAGATAGGATTCTCAATGGCTTATTTTCAACATGTTCTCTTTATTTTAGTTTTGAAGATAGGTAGTTTGTTATTAATAGTTTTACACTATTAACAATAGATTTTAAAGATGGGATAGTCAGGAGATAATTTGTAATGATAATACAGACATAATACACAGGACCACTGTTCTTATTTTTTCAAGTGAGCTTTACAAATTGTTTTACATGCTCTTTAAGCAATATCAGACAATGTGATTATTTGAGAAAAGGTTAGTTTTCTGGTGACAGGGGTATAAAAATTTGGTTTATTAATTTATTTTTGAACAAAATATTCTCTATGTACTGTTAAAATACACGTTGAACTATATTAGACCAAAGTTACAGTAAGATAATTAATTTTCTGGTCATAAAATTGGCTACTTATATTATAGAGGTAAATTTTGGTAGGAAAAAGAGTAACTATGATAAAGGCAATATAGTTTTGCAAACCAAACCCCAGGTGCTAGTCGTCTGAGAATGCATTTAGCCTCTCACTTATTTAACCTTCACCAATAAGTTCAGGTAGATAATCTCCTGTTTACAACTAGCATTTGACAATGAAATAAAGAAAAGTTCACATAAAAACAATATTAATATTGACTTTGTGCAACTACTTTTATAGTGCACTTTGAATTTTATGGCATCCTGGGGTCTTATGTAGCCACATCAGGCAGTTTGATAATGGCCTCTCTGATGAGGATGACAGGGCTGCAGGAGCAACCTCTGTTCTCAGCTCTCTGCCTGGCTTCACTGGAGGGAAGATGTGAGAGTAGTCAGTGAAGGAAAACATGTTAAGAAGACAGTTATTGAGATGTGTGTGTGTATATGTGTGTGTGTGTGTATGTGTGTGTGAGAGAGAGAGAGAGAGACAGAGAGTGAGAGAGAGAGACAGACAGAGAGTGAGAACTGTATAGCAAGTCCAAAAGTTATTTCATCATATGCCAATTATATATTCCTTTAATAAAAATACAGCTTTCTTACTTTGGTTTTGCCATCTCTGAAATAATTATGTTCTATCCATGATTATTCAGCAGATATTTATATTTATGAACTGAATCTTGACAAGCAACTTCTTTGTATCTTAACTGAATTTGAATCTGTACATGGCTTGTGGATAGAAATGCGTGTGTACCTAGCAAAACCAAGACTGATGATATTTATTAGCAGATCTGAAGGACTTTCAAAAGGACGACCTTCCCAAAGCAGCTATATTGTCTAATGAACTGTGAGACCTCATCCGTTTATCTGTTTGAGAAATATTTACTGAGCCTGATATGTGCCTAGCACTGTTCTACGTTAAGAAGAAAAAACGATGAGTAAAAAAGAATGACACAAAGGTACTTGTGTTTAAAGGAGAGTATAATGCCTAAAGTACAATTTAGGGGAGGCTATACGACCATGTGATACATAGTACTTGGGTGTGCAAGGCACACACATTTCATGGTTTTTTAATGGCTGCCTGTGCGTGTAAGAGAGGCAAAGAAAAATTCTGCTGCTGATCACCCATTCAGACATCTAATGCCATCTAATTCTTTGTAAACATGCAGAATTTAGTGTCCACATTTTTATTTTGTACATTTTAAAAGTTAAAGAGTTAAGGCATTACCTGCAAGATGGCTCCTGCATATTGATAGAATGTTCGCACTTTCCGTGCATGCAGAAGCCACTGTAGTGTTCTGGGCAAGGAATGTGGTGTTCTCTGGCACTTTCTTCTAATTTGTTAGCATTCTCTGTGAATACAGATAAAAGCAAGCACCCCCTGTAAATACTTTCTTAGCCGGGTAAGATCAACCAGTACATTAAGAAGCAAAGCTACACTAGGCATATATTTAAAAGGGCAAGAACTAAAAGGCCGTGCTTCAGAAGAAAGAGGGAGAAAGAATTGAAAGACAGGCGTCTTTACAATTGTATTTAGAGATGAAACTGCAAAATTACCCATTGCTTTTCATGCTTTCATGCAATTTTCTACATCTTTAGCAGCCAGTGATGTTTCTATGAGTTGTCAGACAGCTTTAATTTTCCTTGTGTAGAGACTGTACATTGATCATAAAATAATTCAAGAAGAAATATCCTATTTTTTGAATTTCAAAGCCCAGCATAATGTCCCTAAAAGTAAATTGCCACAATACCTTGGTACTTTTTTTTCAGTGTGGGAACTTAAAAGTTAAAGTATGGCTGTGTTCAATTGTTAAACAGATGTTTTCCAAAACCAAATGCAAATTTCAACAAATGTATTCTTTCAGGCTTTTTTCATCTGCTATGAATGTGAATTTTACTAGAGCCATATATTTTCTTATTGCCAAAATAAGACTATTGAAAGAGCGAGCATTATTCAGAATCACTTACGTAGATACTAACAGTACAGACTGGATGCTCTATGTGCATTCTAGTGCATAGTATTTGGCCTATGTTAATAATGTTATGTGAAATTTAAACTTATGATAAAGGAAAAAAGTTCTAAAAGGAATCCTTTCCTCTGTCATTAACAAGTTTTGTTTTCTCATGTTTCTACAAAGACACAAATATTTTTTGCTGACCTTTGTTAGTCCAAATATGTATGCTTCATATTGTAATGCTGTCTCTAGTGTAGTGTTTCAGTTATTTATATGTTCATTTAATAATGTAAAGTTTTGCCCTTTTTTGAGCCTCTTCTATAATTTGAGACCTGATGTACTTAAAAATTCTTGACCAAACACACAAGAAATAGAACTTTCTGGACTTCAATCTAAAGATACTCAACAGTAATTGGTCAGCTATAATGCATGTCTAAAAATAAATTACTATTTAATCAAATAGATTATTTCCTTTTTTCTACATAGGAGTATAGTTTTTTTTATTATAGGACATTTTTATAATTTTTCCTGGCATTAGTGAATGATAGGTATATTCATTGGGAGAAACAAAGATATCTTTGTATTAGTAAACTGGACAAATATGCCATTTATGTTTAAGCAGAGCTATAAAATACCTATACATTTTAAGATCTAGGTGTCATATAAAAACATTAAAGCTTGAAATAAATTGTTAAATCTATCAAGTGCTTTGTTGAGTTTACATATATTGGTATGATGGGTAATATTTCAAATCGCATAATCAAAATTAATAAAGGATTTATCATAAGTGAGCTGGAGAGAGAAGATGGCATTTAAATCATGCATTTGTTCTCTATTTCTGTTTCTTTAGCTCCTTGGGTGATCTTTAATTTGCACTATAGTATTTCCACTTTAATAATTACTACTGAATGAATGAACCACTTCCATGGAAAAGACTAAGAATGTACAGAAACTTCTCATTCAGTTTCTCTCCCATTCTTCCAAGCTAGTTTGCAATTCTGTATCACTGTGTTTTGGGTCACACACAAAGCAAATCTGCAGTAAGCAAACACCCTAACATTGAAGTGGATAGAGTTGGGTGAAATTTCCAGCACAGGGATATGTGATCAAAATGGAAGTAGGGGGCTATCGAGCTATTGCCGGGGCTATCGAGCTATTGCCAGTGCTATCAAGCTATTGCCAGTCAGTGCAACATGAGTTCCATTCCTGTCCAGGGAGCTAACCCACAATGGTGCAGCAGACCTCTCCTGTCTCGCCTGCTGCTCCCATCAGCAGTGTATTTCAGTAGATCCACCTGTTCTGATCCCTACTCTCTCTCTGGTGAATCCTCTCACCCCTCACACCTCTGGCCTGCACCCCAGTTCTTGTATGCATAAATAAATAAAATAAATCATTTTAAAAAAGTGGAAGCAGGATGATACAGCATTTAGATGCCCCCCCCCCCAAGATGGCTGGTGGTCAATTATGAACCCATGGAGAAGACTGAGCTTGTTCTGTGCTGCGGCCAGGGGGCTACAAGCTAGAGTGGTCAAACCACGTGCCTGCTGTTTAAGGACAACTTTAGCAGTGGGGTTTGCCAGCCCCACTGCTGATGTAATGAACCAGCACTGATTTTCACTCTTATTTCTAGATCTTCTCCCCATAACAAACTATTCAACACTTCTATTTAGTGTTCGTTAGTAACCCTTCAGTGCTTCTACACACCTGCATGCAGAGAAATATTCTGCAACTTCCTTACATTTCGGTGATACACTGATTTCAGTACAGTATTTTTCAAACACTTCTTATTAAGGTTATTTTTCTTCCTGTCAGTTTCAAAAGAAGATCAAGAATTTTCTTAACTCAAAATCCATTTTTTAGGTTGTTTTATTTTTAACTCTGTCCCTCAAATCGTACTGTTTGTTTCTGGATTTGTACCATATCCACAATAATGAACTGAAGTCCAAGGGCAAAATAAGAGCTTGTTGGAGTGAGGCTGTTGCCTTAATGTGGTAAGAGCTGGATATTTTCACAAAGTTCATTATCCAGGCAGGGTGATCACATGGGAGGGGAATAGTTTCCATCATAAATCTGCTAATTAGTTTACACCATTTCTTATGAGCTTGGAGTGCTCTGTTCATAGGATACTGTCAAATAAGAAAGTCGAGAGATTGAAAATAAATGAGTAGAAGAAATGATCCCTGGGCAAGAAAATGAGGAATCATCAATATATGTCAACAGATTTATAGTCAATTCAACCTAGTAAACCAGTTGATTGAAAACCTGAATATATAACCACTTCTAGTAATGCAATAGACATATTTTAGAAATGAGATTTAAGTATATTAAGAAGAGTACAGACACAGAAATCTAATATTCCAACCAAATATGTGTATGGACCAGAGTGAGTGTTTGTTATTCCGATGTTTATGCATAGGTATTCTGGCAATAATAAAACATTTAGAGATTTTGAAATTATATAAGAGGGATACTTTGGAAGTTTGTGTTTTATCACCAGTGATTAACAATTTCGACATGAATTTTTCTGTTCTTCATCTAAAAGGAGGTTTAATGTAAGGACTACACTCTTTCATCTAGGGGAAATAACAATGGTAGAAACTCTTCCTGTCTTTGTTTAAAATCCTCAACTAGTTCTTGTTGAACCATTTACAAATGGTTTGTCCTAGAGGAAATCTTTATCCTTCTAAAAAACAATTTCTGATATAGTCTGTTACTAGCAACAGCGTTATGCGTATCTTATGCCCATTGCTAATCAACACTCTAGTCAAGAACTATCAAAGCAGGCAGTTGTAAAGCAGAGCTACATGTATGTTTCTATTTTGGTGTTACCAGGGAAAAAGACAGGGGGATCCAGAGCCAGAGCCAAATGGCAAGGTCTTATGCTATCACAAGTCAAGGTAAATGGGTAGGAAGTGGGCAGAGCCAGGCAAAGCAGTTCAAGAGACAAATCAATACAGCAGGGCATGGGGATGTATTTTTATGTATTACTGTTACCCCTGCTTTCTGTTCCCTAAAAAGCTGGATATTAGACATGAATCAGAGAATTCTATCAAAGCAACACATTATGGACCCAAGCAGATATATCAGCATAAAATTTGACTAAAATTACCCTTATGTCTGAAGAAAGAATGCTTCCCTTTGGACAGGGGTTAGAACTTGGCAAAACAATCTTCTGAAAGTCAAGTCAGATCATCTATTCAAGTGTACTCCAGGATGGTGCCCTGATAAGCCAACTTGAACTTCAACAGCAAACCCAGAGTCCAACTGCAGAGATGGATGCACTCGACTATTAGTGTCCGATGCTATTACATATTCACTCAGTCAACCCATTTCTCTTATTCTGATACTCTGCTCTCTAAACAGTCTTAAAATAATTTGAGTTGCATGTAGCCTACAAATTGGGAATGGCTTTGACAGTCTCCCCCGAATATCTTAGCCATTTTACAGTTATGCATTTCACTTTTGTGGATTGATTGGTCCTGTGTTTCTCTCTCTCTCTCTGTGTGTGTGTGTGTGTGTGTTTATGCAAGTGCACTTTCTTCAGCTCACTCAGTTCTGGGATTTTGTAAGATGAAATTTCTGTAACTATAGGCTAAATGACATTACCATACCTAGGGTTCAGTATAGTCTGGGAGGCCTTTTGGGGGCTGGTCTGATGATATTTCTCAGGAGATACCACTACTTTGCTTTAATGAGGTTGTTGTGAATTTATACAACTCTTTTAGCCACTGATTCCTTAGCAGGGATTTGATTCTGTTTAGGGAAACATCCTAAAGTAGAGGCATTATCAGTATTTAGTGAGTGTTTTAGGGAGGCAGATTTCTACAGCACATTTTTAAGCAACCAAGACTGTTCAATATGGGAATGAGCTGTGTAATGAAGTAGTGACATTCTGCTGGTGTTTAGCTGTGTTATTATTTCTCAGGGATGCTGTATAGCATTACTGTGTAGGAGATTGGGTTATTTCAGACCTCTGGGTTCTCTGAGATCTAAGAATAATATATCTTTCTATTGCTAATACTTACCTATAAAAATTATTCATAAATGTTTACTATTTTTATCATAAAACATTATTTTGGATATGTTAGGAACAAGAAATGGAGAAATGGGGGACATTACTTAATTGTAAAAGGAAATCAAATTGTAGGGATGTTTTCCTTTTTCAAGGGATATAAAATATCTTAAATATTTGTCATGCCTACCAGACATTTTAGCATAAAGTGATCTTCACTATGTAATGTCTTCCTTGTGGGGAACAATGTGTTTATGGATGTAAATTCAGTTTTCAGCATCATGCTTTAACATCACAATTTATCTTGACAAGCACATGCATATGAGTAATGCAGTTTATCTTTTCAACTATCTTTTCCTGTGGGCACACAAAATGGACCATACTT